GTTGCAATAAGAGGACAAGTGATCATTTCCTCCACAAGTCTCACAAGACATGACTTGCGACGAAGAGCTTGAGGGTGTGAGGGTGGCTTGATCTAGCTTGTGAGCTAGCATATCAAACTTTGATGCAATAAGATCTATTGCACTAAGATCATGAATTCCGCCCTTCTTTGTTTGAGGTTGCCTTCTATCACCTCCATATGCATAATGCTTGGCCACTTCTTCAATCATCTTGTATGCATCGTCCACCGACAGCTTTTTGAGGCTACCACCGGCCCCGGAGTCAAGGTTGGCCCTTGAAATAGGAGTAAGACCGTCATAGAAGCTTTGTACAATGATCCATGATGTAAAACCATGGTGGGGGCATTTCCTTGTGTAATCTTTGAAACGCTCCCAAGCTTCACTCAATGTTTCATCAATGTCTTGATTGAAATTGGTGATCTTTCTTCTTAGTTCGGCGGTCTTTTCCAGAGGACAATACTTTCCAAGAAAGGCTCTAGTGACTTCGTCCCATGTACTCAATGATCCCTCTTCAACCGTTCTCAACCAATGTTTTGCTTTATCACGGAGGGAGAATTGAAACATGTGCATACGGATGAACTCTTCCGAAATGTTGTTTTGCTTGATGGTTGTACACAACTCAAGAAAGTTGTCCAAATGAGCAAAAGGACACTCATGAGGACTACCTCCGAATTGATCGCTTTGAATCATACGGATGAGTTGAGGTGAAAGTTCAAAGTTGTTTGCATTTGTGGTGGGAAGACGTATGCCACTCCGAAGTTGGAATGTGTTGGGGTGGTCATAGTCTCTTAACAATGGTTGAGGAGTATTCTCTCCCATGTTATCTTCTTCGTTAGTTCCAAAAACCTCTTCCAGATCGGAATCCGAATATACAATGGAAAACTCGGGTGTGCCTTGCAAGAGTCTCCTCACGTTTCTCAAAGTCCTATTTAGCTCTGGATCAACGGGAATAAGCGGTGATTGCTTACTCTTTCGTGTCATGCAAAGTCAAACAAAGCTAAGAAAAACGTTAGCAATGACTATCGCAAGTTAAACACACATAAACAAAAATTAAGGTAAGAAAACTACTATACATATACACACATCTAGTCTCATTCAACAATAATACATTCAATGTGACTTTGCCTCCCCGGCAACGGCGCCAAAATTTGATAGGCCTTCGTCGAGCCTACCAAAGATACTAATTCCTATATTGGTCTCACTAACAATAGTAAGGGTAAGAAAGGGTCGAACCCAAGAGAGGCGTTGAATCAACCACCGAGTACTACCGTTTAAATAAGCTAAACGAATTCTAAATTGGGTTGGTTTTGAGTAACTTCTTCTAACACAATTCAACTAAGCTAAGAGGAGGTTAACAATATTCAGAAGAATCTAGGGCTTGGGTTATACCACTCAACGTCATCACAAATCACAATTAGCATGCAACAATCAAGGTAAATTAATGGGATAAATTAGGGGAGGTCATCTAAAGCACCCAACTACTCTCTCAAGCTAGAGGGATTACTTGAATCATGAATACAACCTACTCTCGTGGTTACATAGCATAAAACAAGTGTTAAAGCATAATCATGATGACATAAACATTCCCTTGACCGGTAATCCCTATTCTCATGGCATTTCGGGTCAATCAAGCATAAGGGAGCTAACTCAAGTTCATCTCTCGATCCTTCGTTGAGAAAGCTTGGATAAATAGTTTTAGCAATGGCCATATACAAGAACTAAGCAATTAAACCACTTAAGCTCAACTAATTAACATCCCACAACAACCAAATTAGCACATGCAACAAGTGATTAGTGACTACATTGAGGGTTTTGCCCAAACCCTAGAATTTAGACTACTCACAATCCATGGGGGTTAAAGCAATTAAAGATTTCAAGCAATTCATGAACAAATTCAAACTAAGGATTAAGCTAATTAACAATCCAAAACATGCAAGAACTAGCAAATAATCAACAACAAAGTAAAGAGAAGTAGAAAAGATGAGTAAGAAATGGTTACTATGAAGCTTCAAGGTGAGCAACAATGGTGGATTTGTCTTCTACAATGATTGAATTTGAATAATTCCAAGCTAATAATTGAGAACTAACTAATGATTTGAGGATTTAATGTTCTAAGACTACAAACTAAGAGAAAAGCTCTGAAAAACTGCCTTTTTTTACAAATGAGCTCTCAAAGGGTATTTATATGACCCCAAAATAAAAAGGACGGAGAAAACAAGGAAGAAGTTCGACTGCAGGTCTGCACGGACGTGCCAGATTTGGCATGGACGTGCAAGGCTAAGCACGGCCGTGCCAAGTTTGGCACGGACGTGCAGAGGGGGCAGAATTGAGGCAGAACGTACTGCTAAGAGTCGAGCAATTCCGCACGGACGTGCAGATATTGGCACGGACGTGCAGCTACATCTGCACGGACTTGCTTAATTTGGCACGTCCGTGCAGATCTTGGCAGAATGTTCTGAGTTTCTGGAGCACCCTGCACGGACGTGCAAAGTCTGGCACGGCCGTGCACCCTCTTCTGCACGGACGTGCCAGATTAAGCACGACCGTGCAGGCCTTGGCAGCTTGCTGAAGCCTTCTGGAACCTCTTGCACGGACGTGCAAGGTCTGGCACGGCCGTGCAGGGTCTTCTAAGCCCCTTTTTTTCATCTTTTCTTCTATAATGCTCCTTTCCTTGGCTTCTTTCATCCATCTTCTTGCTTCTAACCTCGGCCTTGTATCCATGGGCTCCATTTGGTCGTTCTTTTGAACCTAAAATCTCAACAAAAACACCAACAACCCGTGAAGCATAGGATACACAAAAATTGCATAATAATAGAGTAAAAATGAACCAAAACGCAATTTTTATCAAGTAAACAAGGTTCAAAACACCCTAAAATCGTATCAAATAGCAAGTTATCAGCATCCCACTTAACAGTACAAATACTGTTGTAGGTTTTCGAACCCCTACAATTATAAACATCTAGCCAAATTTTCTTTATTGCCCATGTCTTCCCATCAACTAACCTACTAGGATGTAATCTCCACTCACAACACTCTGCATAGCATGTCACAGTGTATCTCATGTTGTCTGCAGCAACAACATGTAAAGCAAAACCTTCCTGCACTGCATAATCTTTCAACACTTCCTTTAAATGAGCCTTGTCTATGAAAATCATCCAAGGTCTAAGTTTAATCTTCCCAAATTTCACCTCTTCCTACATTTCACCATGACCATAAAGCTGCTGAAAGTAGTCATCATCATCATCATCATCTATGAAACCAGACCATAAACCCTGCTCCCAGTTGTCTTCTATTTGGGGAACCTGTCCTAAATCAACCAACTCATCTTCTGGTACTTCACCAGAAGGTAGTACTTCACCATCAGAATCCTCATCATAATCCTCCTGATAATCCCCATCATCATCCTCATCATAATCCCCAACATCACTGCCATCATCACTGCCATCATCACCCCCATCATCCCCCCCATCCTCATCACAGTCCCTATTAAAGTTGACTCTCCTCCTAACATTTGATTCACTGCTTTTCTCACCCTCACTTGCCTTAGCACTAACTCTAACCTTAGTACCAGTCCAAACTCCCTTCCTTCTTTGTGTAGTCTTAGGCATTTTTCTAGAAAAAAGCATGGGGTTAGTGGTTGGATTTGGACCTCTAGTGTTTGGACTAGATGAAGAAATGGCACAGGTTTTCTTGGTAGTAGTTTGTGCTGGTGAAAACCTAGGGCTTCTTCTAACAGGTAGTGTCTTAAACACTGTGTGTGGTGACATGGGAGCTGGGGGTAACTTCTCACCAGCAGAAGAACAAGTTGTACCACCAGAAGGACCCTTACCCTTACCCTTGCCCTTTGTTGTACCACCAGAAGGACCCTTAGTCTTCTCCATGTACTTCTCAAACTCCTTCCTACCCTTAGTGTACTCTTTTGCAGACTGCTTAGCACTATTCAGTTCAAACTCCTCATATACATCATTGAAGGTAGCATCTGGGTCATAGTTTATAATCCTACTGTCAAGGTCTTCTAATGAGGGGTTGACAACAGAGTCAGAATTTGTTGCTTGATGAGTTAATTGAGGATTTGTTGAAACAGGAGTTGATTCAGGGTTTGTTGATTGGTATGTTAGTCTCAATCTCCTCCTAGGTTGGAGCTTGATCCTAGAAGGTTGTGTAAGTGAAGCAGAATGGGTTAAAGCTTGGTCAATATGATGGGCAGCTTGGACATTGATAGGTGGTGGTACAATTTCAAGTGGTGGTTCATTAACAGGAGGTGGTTCAAGTACAGCTTGGTTGATTTGTTCCTCAGTTATTTTTTCCCCCTAAACTCAGACACTAAATCATTCATGAAATCAGAATTTTCATCAGTCCCAACCAAAATGTCAAAAATATCAGCTTCAGGGAAAGTCCTAAACATACTAATCAAACCACCATCATCCTTAATAGGCACATGCTTTCCTCTATATGCATAAGCAAATCTAGGGTTCAATATAACTACTCCCTTTTTCTGTAACCTATCTTCAAATTCTATGATCAAATCCATGAGATTGTACATATCTGGATCAACTTCAATGTTAATACTATGAGACTTATACTTAAATCTGAACACAACCTTGTCACTCATTCTGCAAAATCATACAAAACTAATTTAACTACATCACACCAAAACATCACAACAAGAATATCAACCAAAGTTCAACATTTACACTGTACCATGCAAATTCATTGACAATCTCATCGAATTAAGAGCATAATCCAGCAAAAAATACAAAATTTAGCACACAAATATGATCATATGGAAATCGAGATAAATTAAGAGCAAAATCCAACAACAAACTACATAAGTATACATATATTCATGTAAACCTAACAATTTAAACATAACAATTTAAACTAACAGAATCAAAAATTCAAGAAAGCACTAACCTTTAATTATCAAAAATCCACACAATGTTGCTGAAATTCCACGAATTTTGCGTCAAACCAGAAGAAGAATGGCGTCAAGGGTTTAGGGAAGCAGCAGTAGAACAGGGGAAAGAGGAAGAAGATGAGTGATCGTTTATTTTTTTTTTTTGTACTTAATGCTGTTGGTTGGGCTTGGAGGGAGGAGTAATGAATGGGGGGGGGCATTTTAGTCAACCAAAGTCAGACCCAAAACGCTTTCATTAACGTTTGTTTAACGTCATGCTTACTGTAGTAATTTAGGTAAAAGTTTAGGGGTACCACTGATAATGAAAGTTTAATGATGTGTACCATTGATAAAAGTCAAAACCTGGGGGATACCATTGATAATATCCCTTTTATTTTTTTGCAATTTTGCATGCATGGTTTGGTTTGGTAGCCTAGCACGGTGTCTGTGTGACATCCTCCTGCAATCTTGCACCATCTCTGCAAACCTACAAATTTACCCCAATTTCTCAAATCTCAAAGAAAAAACCTGAATTCGTACTACACAATAAACACAAGCTAAATTTTCAGTAATACCCCCCAATTTTACTCTGCTTCTTACCCATTTTCACTCTCAGAACTGCAATTTTGCTCTTACAGGACTCAATTACTGCAACTTCTGGTATATTTATTTATCCACCTTCTTTCTCTTCTACCCTTTTAATTCATCATAATCCCCTTTTCTTCAACTTTTGGGGTTTTTTTTTTTGTTGATATTTTTGATTAATTTGGTTCTGAAATGGTTTATTTCTTCAATTGTTAGTGGGTTTTTTCGATGCATATTGAATGAGTAAATTCAAATGAAATTAGTTAACTATCATATTTTACTGTGCCTTTTGTATTTATCTTTTTATATACTTTATGGCTTTATGCATTGTGAGTAGCTCACAAATATTCATTGTCTTTTGTACGCTTATGTTTTAGGGATTCAAGGGTTTATATTTTTCTGTGTAAAATGTGATTAAATTAAGGAATTTGTTGGTCAATTGCACTTCTTTAAGGTTTTAATAATTGTTAGGGTTTGAAATTTATGTATGAGAGGAAGTGCTGACTGACTGCTGAGAGTTTGGGATGTATGAGAGCAGGTGCTGATTGCTGAGGGTTTATCAATGTGATGGAGTAAATACACTTGAGTCCTACACCGAGTTGAAAAAGAAAGGGGCGGTGTTTTGGGTTGTGTTCTTGTGTATGCTGGTGATTTTGAAATTTGGTGGGTTGTATGTTTCGGCCTTTTGGGTTTTGTTGATGCAGTAATAAAGATGAGGTTTGCTGGGTTATTAGCAAAGTATGGGGAAAACTTGTCATCATTTTGTGTGTTAAGTCCTTAAACTAACTTGATTTTGCTTTGCCCTGTATAGCAAGGGTTGATTTACTTTCATTAGTAGTTAAATCGTGATTAATATTGCTTTGGATTATTGAAATGGTGTATTCTCGAATACAATACAAGTAGTTGTTTGTTTATTTGTCTGTCTAAGTCTTTCGAGTGAATTGAATGTTGTCTATCGGTCTATTTGTTTATTTCATCTTTTGTTGCTTGGCTTCTTGCGATATTTGCTTTTAATTGCAGCTAGTTTGTTGGTCTTTGGCCTTTGTCCATAGTAGTTTTATTGAGTGGAAGTCTTGATTGCTGATCATATGAGAGTGTACTATTAAGATTGCAGATTGGATTTTCTAAACTAATGTATCAGAATATTCACTATGATTTTAAATGGGGCCTTGTAAACTGTGTTGTTCAGGTTGTATCTATTGCCTTTAATACTTTGTGCTGAAGGTACTGATGTTTTTCTTCAGAAATTATTATGAAGTGTATCATCCAGCTTCATCTGGCAGACATGTTTTGAGATTTTATGCGCTAATTTCTTGCTTGGCTTGATGTATTAGTTTTCAGTTACTAGGTGCACTAATGCGAGTATTGGCAACAATCACCTTGCTTCTTTTCCTAACCTCCAAAGAAAAATAGAATACTGCATAAATTTTCAAAAACACGAACCTAAAAAGTTTGGACAACATAAGTAGATGATCTCTGATTCTTTGGTGGTTTAAATAATAATTTTTTAAAAAAATAGGTAAGTGATCATTAATATGCCATAATATTTTCAGATTAATGATTGCAAAATTACAATAATTTAGTAGTTTATGATACTCATACATGGTGGTATACTTTGAAGAAGTTTAGCTGTTTTCTGGTTGAAGGTATAAGATTTGTTTTGTGCAATTAGGCCCAAATATTTTAAGTGTCATTGCATGCTTGTGTGGCTATATACTTAGAGTTGGAGTCGTGTAAATATGTACTGTTCTATGTGCTGTATGATATTTTATGCTTGGTGGTGCGTTCTTGGTTTTGTATAATAATGGTTTGACAAATCAAGTTTGAGGGTAAATTTATTATAACCCGAAAGGAAGCATCATCATTTGTTGCACTTTGATATGATTAATTCTCTCATTTGAATATAATTTCTTGAAAAATGAAAACAACGCACAAGAGTTGTTTGGCCTGTGTGAGATGTACGCTATCACTCTATTCCATTGCTTTTTGTTTGATCCTTAGTTTTTGGTGGCCGAAGCTTTCTTTTGCATATTCCTTCCTTTGAGGCATCTATAGTGCCTAAATTTTCTATTTAAATGATTAATTCCGTTTTCTAAATTTCTTTATTTTGTTGAATCTTATATTCTTTGTCTTTTGTATATCTGTAGAGTTTAATAGTAAATCTGATAGGAGTATTTCAATGCAGCTTCTTTTTCCTTCCACTTTCTTCAATGGCCCTCCATAAGATGAAGATATTCAATTCTGTTGCCAGCAAGATTGTGTGCACCGTGAAATCTTCTCAACACTTCAGCAAACGTGGATTCTGTAGCTTCTACGGTGAGTCAACAGAGGCCAAGAACGTGAATGTCTTCATGAAACAGGGCCCACAGAAATCCATGGAGTCGTGGGAAGAAGATGGATCGCTTCGATTTTGGTTTGATGTTCCAGGAGTCCCAAAAGAGAAAGTGAAGCTGGAGGTTGTAGGGAATACATTGTCTTTTGAAGCTGAAGCAGTGGAGATTCCATGCGATGAGGGAATTCGGGCTTACTACTCTTCCATTGAGCTGAACCCAATATTTTACAATCTAGCCAAAGTCCAGGTAGAACTACTACATGGAGTTCTCTACATCAACATTCCTATCCATTCCTCTCCCTAAATTTTATCGTGCCCCGAGTTTGTGAAATGGTAGCCTATCTTCTATGCATTGTAGTACTTGAAATGTAAATACACAACAAATTTTTATCCGCAATCAGAGTTAAAACTGAAAATTCTGTCTCATAGACCCTGTTAGAACCCCAAAATTTTATGCTCCTCTTCTAAAACGTTTCTGTGGCATGTTCTTTGTATTACGAAATATTAGTTCAGCTCTCCATTGCTGGACTGTTCTTGTACGTACACTGATTAAGGGAAATCTTTCAGTCTGCAGTAACCTGATTTGGAAGCTGATGCTGAAAATGGGAAGAATTTTTGAAATCAGAGTGAAAACTGTTTCATACATCAACAAATTATTTTGTATATGATGTTTAACCTGAACCTGTTTCCAAATGCAGTGCCATTTTAATTTATGTTTCCTGCATAAGGTGATGGTTTTTAAGCTTTCAATATTATGATTAGTATTGTAGTTTTATCTGACCAAGAAGCATATATGGCTTGTATAATATTTTGTATGTTACATTACTGTCAATTTTGTGTAACATGGATATATGAACATGTGCAACTAAAGAACATGCCAAGAGTCGTTCCATAGCGAAACACACAAACATGTTCGTGGAACCATGGAAATACTATTATATTCATCCCTCTAACTTGCTTTGAAATGGTCTTCACCACACAGATGTGTCTTTACTTTGTGGAACCATGGAAATTCTATTATATTTATTCGAGCCTTTCTTTGAAATATTCTTTATTCTTCACTAACAATACAAATGGACAGAGAAGAGAAACTTCGTGGAAGAAGGATATTAATTTTCAATTATCGGAGTCTTACTCGTATTGTTGAAGTATTGTTGAGGGAGTCATATTGCAGCAGCATTGGTATTACGTTCAGTCAACCAGATTCTTAAGCAATTGGCATCTTAACCAAGTTCTTCTGACACAAAAATGGACATCGGCACAATTCTGTCTGCTGCTCAAACACTCTTTGCAGCGCTGGATTGCTCAGAATTGAAAGACATATGCTCAATTTTTGGCTACAAATCCCAACTTAATGACCTCCAAAACACCGTCCACACCATTAAAACTGTGCTCAGCAAGGCAGAGGCCAAGCAGGAGCTCCTTGATGAAGAGCAGCACTATGTTGAGGAACTCAAGGATGCAGTTTATGAAGCAGATGATCTGCTTGATGAATTCATCACTCTTATCGAGCAGAAGAAGATCACAGACAATGACAAGAAGGTACGTCTCTTCACTTTTTTCAAGAAGGTTGGTGTTGCTCATAAGGTGTCTAGAGGGGTTAAGAAGATCAAGCAGAAGTTGGATGCTGCAGTTTACAACAATCAGTTTAGATTTCAGATCGATCATGAGCCTATCAGGAAGAGAAGGCCTGAGACTTGCTCTTATGTGTATGCAGTTGATATAATAGGAAGAGAGGACGATTTGGACATTGTAAAGATGTTGCTGGATTCCAATGTCCAACAAGAACTTTCTTTTATTACTATTGTAGGGATCGGAGGATTGGGAAAAACTGCTCTGGCTCAACTTGTGTATAATGATGAAAGAGTCAGAAAAGCATTTAAATCACGGTTGTGGACTTGAGTTGCTGATCAAGATCATAAACAATTGGATATAGAGGGGATTCTTGGTAAGATTCTAGCTTCAGCTACTGGCCTGAAGAATGAAGGCTCCACCCCAGAATCAGTACAGAACCAGCTCCGAGAACTACTAGCAAGCAATAAATATTTGCTTGTGTTAGATGATGTTTGGACTGAGCACTGTGATCAATGACGTACTCTGGTGCGATATCTGATTGGAGGACAAAGTGGTAGTAGGATTGTGGTGACTACACGTTCGAAAGAGACAGCAAGAATTATAGGAGATGGTCCAATGTATGAATTGTAAGGGTTGTCAAAGGTAAATTCATGGAAGTTTTTTCAAAATGCAGCTTTTGGATCAGAAAAATTAAATCACTCAGAGGACTTGGTCAAGATTGGACAAGAGATTGTTGAGAGATGTGCTCGAAACCCTCTCGCTATAAGAGTGGTAGGAAGTTTTCTGTTTGGCCAAGACGAGAGCAAGTGGCAATCATTTCTGGATATTGGATTAGCCAACTTCAGAGAGAGTCATGATGACATTACTCCTATACTGTTGCTGAGTTACCATCATCTTGAGTCTCCAATAAAGTGCTGCTTTAGTTATTCTGCATTGTTTCCCAAAGATTTTGAGATAGGGAAAGAGATGTTGATAAGCCTTTGGATGGCACAGGGCTATATTGTGCCGTTTGATAAAGGCCAAAGTATCGAGGATGCCGGTGAGGAATATTTTTCAATTTTGTTGCGGAGATGTTTTTTCCAAGACGTTAAAAAGAATGAAGATGGTGAGATCAACTCATGTAAGATACATGATCTGATGCATGACATTGCTCAAAAAGTCACACAGGGGGAGATTTCTGCAAAAACAGTCAGCATTGATGATTTGGATAAAAAAGTTCGCCATTTATCTTTTGATAGAAGTTCATTTGCAAATTACTCTTTCATTAACACCCATATTCGCTCCTTTCTTAATGTTGACGACAATTTTCAATTTGTCAACATGGAGCAGTTGCTACCAGCGAAGGCTTTAGTAGCAAGTTGCAAGTGCTTAAGGGCATTGGACCTGTCTGGGTTAAATATCAAAAGCTTGCCAAGCTCGATGGGTAATTTGTTGCACTTAAGGTATCTAGACCTCTCATTTAATGGAAAACTGGACGAGCTCCCTAAGTCAATTACAAAACTGTACACCCTACAAACCCTAAAACTAAGGGAATGTTTTTTACTCGAAGAGTTTCCAAAACACTTGAGTAGATTAGTTAATCTTAGGATCTTAGATACATGGGGTTGCTACAGCCTGACTTTCATGCCTCGGGGCATGGGTAAGCTGACTTACCTTCACACGCTAAGTAAGTTTATAGTGGGTGGTGTAGGGAGTGGTTCAAGCTGGGAGCAATGGTGTGACGGGATGGAAGACCTGAAGGCTCTTGACAACCTGAAAAATGATCTTGAAATTCATATCAAGTGGCCCCTAAAAGGTACTAATGCTGTCAAGCAAGAAGGTTCTGGTAGAAGTGTAGTAAATGTATTGAGGAATAAGAAACACGTCAAGCACATTAGATTTAATTTTATACATGAGGAGGCTAATGGAAGAGTAGTAATTGATGAGGAAGCAAGATTGCGATTGATGGAAGAGCTGCAGCCACATTCGAAGCTCAAGGGGTTAGAAATGTTGGGATACCATGGTGTGAAACTGCCTGATTGGGCAATTGATAATAACATGGTAAAATCTCTCCCATATCTTGTAAAGCTTCATCTTGAAGATTGCAAGGACTTGGAGCAAGTGCCACGCTTAGGCAAATTGCAAAATCTGAAGGTGCTCTCACTTTTATCAGTAGACAATGTGGCCTGGCTAAACTCACTGCCAGTTGAGGCTTTTCAGTGCCTATCTGAGATGCGCATTAAATATGATAAAGTGGTGGAGAGTTTGGCTGAACTTGGGGTGGTTCTCCATAGCTGCTCATCTTCCTTGCGATCCTTGATCATTCATGATTGCCACAAACTAAAGACTTTGTATGGAGGGTTGGAGCATCTCACTGCACTGGAGAAGCTACGGATATCTGCAAGTCATAACCTGAGGCTATCAGAAGTTACACAGAATAGTACTGGCACACCGTGGCCATCCCTTCATCAGAGCCTTCGTTACTTGCACTTGTGGGACATGCCGCAGCTCATAAATCTGCCCAATTCTATGCAGTACTTAACTGCCCTCCATACCCTTGAAATTTCAACGTGCAAACAACTGGAATCATTGCCCTTGTGGATTTCACAACTCACCTCTCTCAAGCAACTTCGGATTTCAGGGTGCTCAGCTAGCCTGGAGAGAAGATGCCAAAGTATCCCAATAGGAAAGGACTGGCCCAACATTAAACATATCCCTACCATTGTAGTTCGAAAAGCACTAGACAGTTAATTATTAGCCACCTGTAATGACTGTGTCGAGTGGAAGGGAGGAAGGGAACATTCTTTTCATTTCATGTAAAGTTACCAAGTAACGATTAGATTAACATACACACTCTTGTAGTTATTGGTAATTCATCTGTTGCTTCTGTCCTACCATTGTTATTGTCTTATTTTCTGTTTTCAAAGTATTACTTGATACGAACAACAAAAGTACAAATCAGTGGTAATATTGAACTCTGTCTCATAAATCTGTTTCCTGATGCAGTCCATGTTGATTTTATGTATACTAGGTGTTGGCAAAAGCAAGCAATACAATTTATTGTTAGAAACTATGAGATTTCTCATTGAGTCACAGTGGATATACTGGAAGTACCTGCACTTGTATCTTTGAGACTTTTTTTTTTGGCCGAAACTCAAAAGGAAAACAATAGTCCATATTGACCTTTTGCTAAAAATCAGGCACAAATTGAAATTAGATAAATATTTTTTTGTGAAATGTAAAATTGTATGAATTGAATAATAATTGATATATTGTAATATAGGATGTTTATTTGCATTAAGGGTACGTTCTATTCACCTGATTTTTACTTATTTGAACTTATGAACTTATCTGAACTTATTTTAGTTATATTAAACTTGGGTAGCCCCTAATTAACCCTTATCACAACTTATCTGAACTTATTTTTCCTGAACTTATCTAATCTGAACTTATTAACCCTGAAATAAGTGGAAATAAGGTGAACAGAATAGGACCTGATTCTGAGCTAGAACGCCTGAAGTACAATTATTAATCAATCACTAATTTTTATGTACAATTATGTACTGTATAAGGTAATAGTTCATAAAATTCAAAGTATAAATCTTTCTTTCTAGCAGATTGAACCACAAGATGTGTAGCCAGGCATAATCTCTTCTCTTCTAAATATGTGTGCACTAAGCCACTGTTCTATATTTGCCTGAGCATGTTGCTTGGCTGTTTGTCTTGTCTATGGCTTTGAAGCTTTTGCTAAGCATTAGCGCGACAAGTTTGATCGGGCAACATGGCTGTGAGAACTAATAATCTAATTAATATGGGCTCTTTTTTTTTTTTTTGAATAAATATGTGGGATCTTGGTTCTTAGGCTTTAGCAAGTCTGTTAAACCAAATATCATTTACAGTAAGCACATAATGCACATTTTAAAAAGGAAAAAAAAAAAACCCGGATGTTAACAACTTAAAAGTACAGTGATCACATTTATAAGATTGTATTAATTTTATTTTTATTTTTATTTTTTACAGAGTATTTATTATTTTACTTTTTTAACAGAAGATTGTATTTATTACAAAAAGGCTCCAATTTAATTGTAATTATTTTATATTGTTTACATAAACAAAACCTTACTGCTTCGTAACAACAAAGTCGTTGTAGTATAGTGGTAAGTATTCCCGCCTGTCACGCGGGTGACCCGGGTTCGATCCCCGGCAACGGCGTTATTATTTTTTTAATCTATGTCATTGTTGAGTTTACAAATAACCACATGCGAAATTGCAACCACTAATAAAAACAATCTAATTAACTCCTTGAACAATTGAACATAAGTTTTAATTCATAAAAACTTTGTTAATTTAAGAAATGCAATGAATAATAAAGCCGGGTTTGATCCCGGCAGCAACAACGTAAATCAAGAAGCGGAAAAATAAAGGGAGGCATAAAGGAGATGATTCCAAGCATCAGGCACACCAGGAAGACACCAATGACTACAATCAGGAAGTCTATGTCTACCAATTCCGTAAACTCCAGGATGTCCATCTCGTCGTAATTGAGAAAGTGGTGTTACTCTTAACAATTCTACTGGCTTTTCCATTTTCTTAATCACCTTTTCTACTATCCTTTCTGCTGGGTGTTCTTCAACTACTCCATTGTTTGTTGCTCCGAGTAACGGTCGCTTTACTCCTATACATGTTCTTGCATTTGGAGCTGTCCAGTTAAGGGCACTGCAACACATACAATACGACTTTGATCAACATGTATAAAGGTATATGTTGCGTAATTCAATAATTAGATAGAAAGTCTAATAAAAGCCGAGTTTGCAAGAGAAATTGTCTTACTTCATATGATCAGGGGAGACTCCTTGAAAAAACACCCTGATATCTGAAGAGCTCAAATGTAAGTCTACCCATCTAGTCCATGTCTTCAATCCCTTTTCGTATGCAACGAGTCGGTCCATGTCTTTGTACAATTTATTCCCATCTTCAATGAAATCCCATCTGTTTTTTATCCAAACATACAAATTACTTGCAAATTTCTTTATTATAACCTTTTGCAAAAGAGAAAAAATAATGTGTGTAGAAATTCATTCTGTTCTAGTACTTACGGTTGTTTCCTTCCGGTATGAAGCCACCAATGCCAAGTATTGAAGATCAAAATGTCGAAACCCTTCCACGATTTACCTTGGCTCACTGAATTCAGAACTAATACTCTGCCAGCCTTCTTATTCACAATCTTTATAAGGAAACCGTCTCTTAACAACGTCAAAGATGTATTGTAGTCCTGCATCCGTGCATATGTGCCCATTATTACATCATTTTCTTTTGTCGAAGTTATCAATTAACTTTGAACGTCTCATATTAGCTACATAGAACAACTCTCTCGGTCTCTAAATGATAAGAGGTATATATTTGTCATACACAATTTTTTTTTTTATTCAAGAGTGTCTCAAAACTATATATAACCAAGTAACTATACATCAATCTATAGTTTAGATTATTCAAAATGATTATTAATGGACAAAGTTACATTAATAGAACGTAAACTAACCGGGAAAGTGAACTCGGAGAGGCCTCCACTCCTAGCTAAGGTGTACTTAGATTGTGGCACGGCGGTGTGGAGCATGCATGCAAGAGATTGCCATTGATTTAGGCTTATTGAATCTCCCACAAATAGTATTTTCTTCCCTCTTAATCTTCTTAAAAAATCAGCACCATCAAACCTAAAAGTTGAAAAAAAGGTCATATTTTTCTAGGGGAAAAAAATTGTATATCCTAATGCAACATATTATTACTAAACAAATCATTATGAAAACATGCCATAACTTAATTTGGGTCTTGTTCTCACGTTACTAGTTCAAAAATGAATACGTGACAAAAGAAATTCGGCCTTTAAGGCAAATGTTACCTTGGAAAGAAGCAATGAGAAGGCTTCCATCTAAACTTGAGATAATTTTTGTCAGGTCTTCCATTTTTTTCACAACCAAATTGTTTCTCAAAGAAGGGACAACTGGATGCATCATACAGAGGATATGAACTATCATAAACCCATTTTCCTGTATATAAATCACAAGAGTTTTTACTAATCTCTTTCTTTCTACTAGTAATATTCCAATTTTGCCCTTCTCCACTCAACACCATAACCAGCAGAAGCAGCATAGCAAAAGCAGTTGAGTTCTTCATGATGAAGAATGAGTTGGTTATGAGTAGCAAATGGTGTGAAAAGTTGGGCATTTAAAGTGGTTAATTATATTAATGGGTGGTTATTTTTTTAAAATACAACGAAAAAAATAATTAAAAAAAAAAAAAGTTAGTGGGTGGTTATTATATCAAGGGTAGTGTACACAAGGGAAAAAAAATCAAAAAATTTGAAGTTTACATATTATCGAAAATTAAAATAAAAGAAATAATATGAGCATCTTTTATCCTGTGTATTAGCACGATTACATTCTAGTATAGGGTATGGAAAAGTATATGTATGTTGCTTAGCTACCATGTGCGAGTGAAGTGAAGCAAGTAACGGATGAGAAACTGAGGGAGAGAAAAAGATTGTGTGTTAACTGCTTAATTAGTTTAGATGAAGAAGATGGATGGCAACTCTTTGCTTATTACTTTAATACCATTTCATAAGAGAATTATAATAAATTGATCCAAGAGTGCATGTTTTTATGAGATGGTTGATTGAGGTAGGCTTTAAATTGCATGTTAGTGTTGTATATTATTTGAAGGGCCGCTTTCAGTTAAAACAAAATTGATAGAGCTAGGGTTCCCTTAGGACTTTATTGAGAGAGCCAACCTGTTACGCTACGAACACCAATTGATATGTGACTAAACATGAACGTAACCCGTTTACTCGAATTGTTATCTCTCTTTTTTTCAACACATAAACAATTTAAATCACATTTTTATCTAGTAGCTTAGTATTTAATGGCTAACATAGGTAGTAGTGATGCAATGTGAGCAAAAAACAGGATAAATTTTAAAAGTATAGACCATGTAATAAAAAGTGCAAGCTGTAGATCTGATCTTGATTATGTGTTATAAACAAATCGATATCACAGTATCGGATACAAGACATGTTATAATCACTATATAGTCATGTCATGGCATACATATTACTTAGATGTGGTAATTGGTTTAAGTGATTAAGTTACAAAAAAATGGTCTGTAAAGACTAAAACATTTGAGAGTTAAATATTAATGGTAGTCATAAGCCAAGAAAAACCTAGTAATGCAAGGCCCTAAATAAATAGCTCCCATGGCTAGGTCGAGGCACCTCCCAAGCGAGTTCATAATATTTCATTATCACCTAGCTATCAGTACAAAATTAGTACAACTGTGCACAAATGATCTAATCCGATTATGGTTACGATCCACACTATTTCATCACCTAGCTATCGATACTGGTTCTTATCATATTATACCTCACAGTTCATAAGATAATTTACAAGATATGTCATTCAAGTCATCAAGTGTAATGGTACTTATGGTATTAATAACGTAATGGCAGTCTGAAGATAAAGATTTAGTGAGAATTTGCTGTATTTCAAAAACACAGCATAGTTGAGCTTAAAGGCTAATAAAAATCCAAATTATTAATGCTATGAAGAGTCGAACAGGGGAATATAACACAAGAACACACATAATAATACATAATATTGTCCGTCATCTTTTGATATATACGTACAAATACAGGTATATATAAGGGTACATATATATATACGTAGTATATCTTTTTTGGATGGTAAGATAGATGGACTTGACCCCTCAAGGGTCATCTCAAACTCATGATAGCAGTCCAGGCCTTTGAAAAGTAGGGGTGTAAAGCTAGATCAAGCAACTTTAGTTACGACTTTGATATATACATACATCAATATTAGGGGTATATAGATCCTCTGTGCTCATATGTGAGCCCTTCGTTTCCAAATTATCGGTCTCAGAGTTTTGGGATTGTGATGTGAAGTATTCCCTCCCTGCATCAAAATGAATTTATGATGAATATTGTAGTATCAAGAGTATGCTGCTCTTTTTAGTTCCCTAAAATTGGTTTTATACTTACACAAGCTCTGCAGACACAGAGTTCTTGTTTGCACTAGATGGAAGTGGCAAAATGATTTGGTATGGTCCTTGCGCAATTTCCCTCCTGTGGTAAGTGGTGAAAGAGTCATTTGAAGAACCTCTTGCTTTCAACCACTTCATTGACCGTTTACCTCTCACAATTAAGCTGCAATGAGTGAATAACACAGCGGTTAGTAGATGATTTGGTGTATTGAAATTGAAATCAACAAAATATTTGACAAGTTAGTAAGTGTTCAGGTTATGCCGTACTTTTTGTCATCCATCTCCACTCTAATATCATTGATCTCAACCCCAGGAAGCTCAACTGTGATGACATGACTGCATTTTGATTCAACAATGTTTATCCTTGGCGACCATCCTATCCCTACAATAGATCGTAGATAACTCAAATCAGACCAAATGGTATGATTGCTTAATGAGTAAACAATGATTTATATTACTCAAGACTAATACTACAGCAGTGAAATTTGCAAACTACATACCATTGATTTGAGAAGAAAACATCTGTCTCGTGCAAGTGCTTTGCTTCTCTTGTGGAACGATAGATGTGTGGCATTCTGATGCAGGTAACATTTCATCTTGTTTAAAGGATTCAGTTACACCAATTTCGGGAAAGTTCAATTCTTCTTGAACAGGTCTAGAATAAAGTGGATCTTTAGAGGCAGGACGAGAAAATAATGGTAACTCAAGGACAGCAGTCTTTTTCTCATTTTCACGCCTTGCAGAACAATCTTTGCATTTGGAAACCTCATTTCCCTGGAATATAAAAGAAGCCATTGAAGAAGTTAGATTGAATTCAATAATACCTTATCAATGTAAGAAAGAAAGGATATAATGTCCAACGCCAAAGTTAATCAAACTTGGGATCGGAAGGTGTGTAGTTGTGTACATTATGTAAAGTACCTGTTCAGTAGAATTCAGCATTGCCTGCCTCGTAAAATACCCTTGAGAGGCAGATGCTTGCCGTCCAAATAGCATTCTGCTATCAAGCCTTCTAAATGAAGTGCTTATATTGCTGCTGCAGTTCTGAAACATTACATACATTCACATCTTATTATAACTATGCATATAAAATGAAATGAAAGCAAAATGGAAAGAAAATAGAGAAATCATTCCAAAAATTACATTACAAGCGAATTCTTGAAAATTAATCAATGGGTTTTTGTATCAGCTACTCAGCTAATGTACTACGCTGTCAATTAATTTTACATCCAAAAATCACTACAAATTTACGGTTTCTTCCATCCACAGTTTGGTTTATTATTACAAGCAGTTCTATATAGGATTATTTAAGGTCTTATTGGGTTCTTTATCAGCAATTACTAATCTTGGGGGTTATTGTTTGCCTAATATGAAGCCTAAAGTGAAGTACTACCTCGGTTTCATATTTTTTTTTTCAAAGTTAGCGAACATTGACCATTAAAATATGAATTATAAAAGGGAAATTCTCTTTGGTAACACTATACTATTTAATTTTCTCAGTGGTGAATTGCAAACAATCTTATTCTCTTTGGTAAACTTGAACTATTGATTAGTTGATTACCATTGATAAGTGCTATTTTAATAAAAATCGTTAACTATAGTTAGGTTTTTATTTTTTTTAAAAAAAATTAAACCAAACCCCTCCCCCACCCATGCCGGCGGACAGGGCTCGGCCGGCGATGCCCGACCTCCCCCACCCCCGGCCGGCGATGCCCATTTCCCCCACCCAACGCCACGACACCCCACTTCTCCCATTCCCCCACACCGATTCTTGTTCTTGTATGCTTCCCTCAATGGTCGACTTCTGCTTTTGTGACATCACTATCAAAACTTGGGCAAAATCCCCAATTACACCACCTTACTGCAAAATCCCCCCAAAAATCCCAATTAATTCAAGCAAATCATCCAAAAACCTTAAAATTAAAAACCCTAGAAAATGGAAATCGAAATCTGCTCAACCATGAGATCCTTAAGCTGATTCAACAAATCAGCCTTAGGCTTTTGCATCAACTCATGGGGTTTGATTTTTGCTGCAAAAATTCACACAAATATTGTAAATTGAATCAAAAACCGCAGTTCGAAGATATTAAGAAAGCTTGATTTTATCGAAATTGGAGGAGATAGTAAGTGAGCGTCACCGGTCGGGTGGGGAGCTGGGCGTCGCTGGTCGAGATGGGGAAAGAGAGCAGGTGGGGGGCGGGGGACGCTGGGAGTCACCGGCTGGGGTTAAGGGAGGTTGGGCGTCGCCAGGGGGTAATGGAGGCCGGCGCACCGGCAAAGGTGAGGTTGGGCGCCGGCGTGGGTGGGGGTGGGGGACAGGTTGCTGGCTGTTGGGAAATGGGTTACTTCTTTTATAAAAAAAATATTTCTAAAATAAATGTAAAAAAGAAAAACAAAAAAAAAACTAACTTATTTAGTTACATATTTAGTTAAAATTTATCGTTAATATTATAGTTGACTTAATATAAAAAATTTAGGTTTACCAAAAATAATAAGATTTTTCGCAATTCACCGTTAAGAAAATTAAAAAGTATAGTGTTACCCAAAGAGAATTGACGGAAGTATGATAATAAATTATTAAAACACATTCCTAATTCATTGAACTTTTATCCAAGTTAAAAAAAAAAGTTACTCCCTCCATCCCTCTTTACTTGCATTATACCTCCTCTATATTTTTTTACTTATAACACATCTTTTATCACGCTTTTTGAGGAGGTGATTAGATTTAGTAAACAAATAAATTAATCTATGAAATTTAAACCGTAGCAATTTATTGACAGAATTGTTTGAATTAATTTATTCGTCTACCTAGTCCAATATCTCCTTTAAAATGCATGTCAAAGGGGTGTGTTGGAATTAAATAAAAATGGAGAAAGTACTTCTTTTTAGGATACCCCTTTTGAGATTTTCCCAACGTCTCATAATACTTAAACAAACGTGAAATCTCGAATATTACAGTTAAAAAAAAAAAATGGAAGAAGTATTTGATAAACTCTATAATGAAGGGATGAATGGAGTACAAATCAACCAAATATAAAATTCAATAAGTCATGAAGGCATGAGTAAAGATATTACTATCATTAACTTAATAATAATCACAATAGTTTGACTTTTGCAATTTCACTAACTTCACTCTTACTATCTCTAGCAATTTTTTTTTTTTTTTTTTTTTTGGTGAACATCTCTGGCAATTTATATGAATATATATTAGATCCGTTATTTTCAAAGGTCACCTGTTAATAATTTTAATATTTTTGATAATTAAAATATTGTAAAGAATCAAACGATTGCAATTAAAGTGAATACATAAAGTATAACAAAACATAAATAAAACATGGGCTGATACACCAATTAATTACATAAAAAAAGAATTACCAAAGGAATTAAGTGGGCATTAGGTGCAGTGACATCCTCAGTGACAATTCCAGCAGCAAAGTGAGCAGAAATGGTGTTGATCCTACGCCTTATCACTTCACTCTCCATTTTTTTTTTTGGGAGTTGGGTTTGAAGGTTTATGAGCAGAGGATTTGATGATTGGTGAGAGATGATATAATAGATGACAGATCACAAGATTTTTTCTTTCTTTCGGTGAGGCTTGGCGGCTAATATTAATCTCATTTCCTTTTCATTTTTTTCCCCTCTAATTTTTATTTTTTATGGTCACTCACATTACTACGTATACTTTAATTAAATAAAATTTTAAAACAAATCAGTTCACATTTAAGGTATGTTCTCTTCTCCGTAAAAAGAAAAAAAAAAAAAAAAAAAAGTATGTTCTCTTTACCTTATTAGACTTGATAAAGGTGCGTTTTATCCACCTGATTTTCACTTATTTTCACTTATCTTATCTTATCTAAACTTATTAGACCTTATTAAAACTTATTTTAGTTATAATTTGTACTTGGTTAACCCTTATCAGAAATTATCTGAACTTAATTGTACTTAGCTGAACTTATTACACCTGAAATAAGTGAAAATAAGGTGAACAGAACAGAAAATGAACTTATCTAACTTATTATACTTTATTAAACTTGACTTATTAAATTATTGAAACTTATTAAACCTGATTGAATTTATGGTATATTCTCTTCACCTTATTGGATCTAACTTGTCTGAACTTAACTAATTTATCTAAATTTATTAGACCTTATTAAAATTATTGGAATTTATTAAACCTAATTGAATTTATTAGAACTTATTATTATTATTATTATTATTATTATTATTATTATTATTATTATTATTATTATTATTCTAAAATAACTACGAAATAAAATAATGCTCCTTCCGTATTAAATTACTTGCTTCATTTCTCCATGCGTGGAGTTTTAGGAGAAATAATATATTGTAATAAAATATGAAGGAAGTGAGGTTGGTGGAAGAATAAAGTATGATAGTTGGGAAGAGAGAGAATATGAAATTATTAAAGTATGATAGTTTGGGGTCCACTAGGAAAGAAAAATTAGTACTCCCTCTATTCTATAATGCATGACACAATCAAACATTGCACACATGCCATGCACTAGTTTGACTTTATTTTTATATAATTAAATATTAATGAAAATTATTTTAAAAATTATATTATGAAACTTTATATTAAAACCTATCTAACAACATATTTATGATAAAATATTTTTTTTTATGTTAGTAAAAAATTATGGTCAAACATAATGCATGAATAGTGATAAAAAGTCCAACGTCTCATGTATTATGGGTTTGAGGGAGTAAAATATTATAAAAGGTTTCCAAAAAAGAAAATATAACAAGTAATAAAATACAACCGCAAAAGGAAAGTGGAGCAAGTAATAAAATACGGAGGGAGTACTATTTATGTGATACTTAAAATATTCTACCTCTGTTTCATATTTTTTTGCAACTTTGGGGTATTATTTGTGAGAAACAAAATATTCCAAAGTTGCAAAAGATATGAAACGGAGGTAGTAATACTTTATTATAAAAAAAAAAATAGTTTTTAATATAATTATATTAGACCAGATTAGAACTTATTGGAACTTATTAAACCTTATTTAACTTATTGGAACTTATCAAACCTTATTGAACTTAATAGACCTTATTAAACTTATTGGACCTTTTTTGTAACTTACTTGAATTTATCTGAACTTATTAGCCCTGAAACTTATTTTAATAAGGTGAAGAGAACTTGCCCTTATTGAAAGTTATTAGATCTTATCGAACTTATTACACTTATTATTGTAACTTTTTTGAACTTAGTTAAACTTATTAGACATGAGACTTATTTTTATAAGGTGAAGAGAACTTGCCCTTATTGAAAGTTATTAGATCTTATCGAACTTATTACACTTATTATTGTAACTTTTTTGAACTTAGTTAAACTTATTAGACATGAGACTTATTTTTATAAGGTGAAGAGAACATGCCCTTTAATTTATTAAGTTTGAACTTATTAAAACTTATTAGACCTGATTGAACTTATTGGACCTTATTAGACCTTATTGAACTTATTTGAGCTTATTAGTCCTTATTGGAACTTTTTAGACCTAATTAACATTGCTTGCCTAATATAGTACATATCAAACCACACAAGCCTCTCAAGCTAGAAACAAACAACATTGTAAAGATATGATAAGGCTAAGTTTCATTCATTTTATATAGCTAATCTGATTAAGAGCCTGTTTTGTTCACATTATTTTCACTTATTTTATTAGTAATAAGTTCAGTTATTAAGAGCTTGTTCTCTTCACCTTATTTTCACTTATTTTAGGTCTAATAATAAGTTCAGATAAATTCAAATAAGTCAGTTTAAGAAAAATAAGTGTAGATAAGTTCAGTCCATGAAAAATAAGTTCTGATAAGGGTTACGCAAATTCAAATTATAACTAAAATAAGTTTTAATAAGTTTAGATAAGGCCAGTTAATTAAGTTCAAATAAGTTCGGATAAGTAAAAATCAGGTGAATAGATTACACCTAAGTTCAGATAAGATCAGTTCAGGAAAAATAGGTTATGATAAGGGTTATTACTCAAGTACAAATTACAACTACAATAAGTTTTCATAAGGTCTAATAGATAAGTTCAGATAATATAAAATAAGTTCATATAAGTGAAAATTAGGTTAATTTAACACACCTTTAATCTGAACTTATTTTTGTAAACCTAATCTGGTTGCCTGACTTGATTAAACTTTGACTTTATATATACACTAATCCATATTAAAAAAAACACCAAATGGAGTTTCATTAGATTTAATTTGTATTAGTGTGTATTTTCCAAATACTACCTCTGTTTCATATTATCTGCAACATTTTCCAAAAATGGATGTTACAAAATAAAATAAAACATTTGTAACAAAATTGCTGATTTGAGCCCCTTACATGACGCCTTCTTTGCAACAACCAACGATGACCTTTTATCACTTCCTTTGAGGCTGATTCTTCTTCGCCTCGCCGGTTTTACGAATCCGGTGAAGATTGCAAGGTGTTTTCTAATTACGCCTTTGAATGTCTGGGAAGGGTCCTCAATTCTGTTGAGAAAGCGGAGGGGGGGGGGGGGGGGAAGCTGGTGGATTTATTAGAGATTGACCATACTAGTGTACCCATGGTGAAACCGCAAGCCCTACCTTCAAACCACCAAACTACGGAAAAGCTACTTTTATGAGGAGACTTAGAGGGAAGGGGGTTAAGATTATTGAGCCAATTAAAGGTAAAGAAGAGGAAAAGGGTAGAGGGGGTAATGGAAGGGCAAACAAAAGGGGAAAAGGAAAGGAAACAATTGAGGGTGGGTCTCAAAAAGTAGGAGACGAAGCTGAGCAAGAGGAATTTTGGGGTTATTCTATGGCTAATCCTCCAACTAAAATGGTTTTCCCTTCTGAAGAAGCAAAACTCGGAAAAAAAACGAGTCAGACCTAGGGTTGTGGCTGATGAGGAGCATATTGATCTAGCATACCTTGAATTCCTGAAGTTCCTTGATCGACAATTTTACGTTGCCCAGTCACTCAAAGGGATGAAAATTGTGGATTGTTGTTGTGTTGTTGTTTCTCTTCATAACAATATTGCTGCGATGTTTTGTGTTGTTTCACTCTCTGATGGTGTTGCTATGTCTTGGATGAGTTGATTCCCTTTTTTATAATTCAAGGTTTCCCGTGTGGTGTTTTTTATGAATGTAAGTCCCTGTTTTGTTTTGCCACTGATGAATGCATGGGGATGATGATTGATGGATGATGAATGTGTGTACAATCTATTGTGATCTCAACGAACAATGTGGAGGGATCATTTGTCATATTGTTGACTGTAGAAAGATGTTAAATCACATATTGATCTCAATGACTAGTGTTGAGAGATCAATTGTGTTGTTGGTTGATGTCAGAATTTGAGTCCCTGCTATTTGATCTCAATGACCCTTTTTGAGAGATCATCAACCAACAAAATGTCCAAAGGATGAAGGGACTCTTTTGATAAACAAAGAATTGTGTGTATTGCTCCACCATTTGGTTTCTTTACTTTAGAATTAAATGGTGTTGAGGTAACAAACATGATTCATTGTTGTGAAAAGAAAAAAAACCTTATAATGGAATTGTTTATGCAAATTGAGATCAGAAGTTGTCATGCCTTATATAACTATGCTATACACAATCATTGAAACTTGAGTAGCAAAATGAACATCATTTTTCCATTCCATTCACAAAATACAACTTTGTCATCACAACAATCACCTGTTACATAAAAGGTTTGGAGTCCTACATAAGATAGACATTTCCATACGTACTAAAGAGTCCCACAAAAGTTTTCATACAATCCATACAAAATATAGAGTCCCACAAAAGTTTCAGATAACCACACATAATTTGGAGTCTGTAGACACCTGATTGTGTCTCCCCCAAAACCAAACCCAGTGATGAGTACCTTTCACGTCTTTGATTAACGAGTTCGGTAAAGAGTTGAAGAGTTTCGTGAAGTTTCCTTAAGCCTTGACCATATTTTTAACCTTTCCTAAAATGTTTTAATCCAAAATCATTCATTTCGTGTCTTTAAATCCAAATAATTGATTTCGTGTCTTTAAACCCAAAATCATTCATTTCGTGTCCAAATCTTAAAAAGTACAAACTACATTATTTTGGTCCATAATATCAGTCCAATTATCACTTATCTGGATGGGGTTTGAAAAGAGCTTTCCAACGATATATTATAAGCCCAAATCTGACTTAAAACGAATAAGTTATGGCCAGAATACTAAACCGAGTCTAGGTCCACCTTACCTATGACCCAATGATCATATGAGGGTCCAAATAATATCTTATTCCTAATCCGAAATCAATTAGGACTCTTTTAGAAGTTTCTAGAAGGTTCTAGTTTATCCTTTCCGAAAAGATGAAGATCAAAGAGTTTGAGATTGAATAAAACTTCTCTTTTTGATAATCCTTGTTCTATTCAAATTAAAAGACGTTCGGAGATAATTTGCATAGAAAACCCATCAGAAACCAAACTCCGAATAAAATAGATTATTTTTTAAAACCAGCGCACAACGCCAGGACCAACACACTGCGACAGTCCCAGCGCGACGCTATGGTCCCAACGCAGCGCGTAAGAGCCAACGCGGCGCGTCAAGAGCAGTTCTATTCCGTTCC